CCTTCTCCTTTAGGAGTTTGGCCTATTTTATACCAATCTCATTCCCAGAGTCCTTGTCACCATTAGTTGATTATCAACTTGAAGTTGATAAAGGTAAATTAACCGCCATAGCAAATTTCTAGAAGCTGACGTTTCGAGCGTTAGCTTCTAGAGCGCCAGCTTCTAGAAATTCGCTATGGCAGTTAATTTACCTTTATCAACTTCGAGTTGATAATCAACTTAGCAGGCACGGAATTAACTTTTTTTCCAGGAGCCATTTGGCTCTAAATATTCCAACAGTGGTCGCCAAACTCCAAAAAGTTAGTGTCGCCATTTTTTTTTCCAATAAATTCAGCACCAGAGACACAACCATTGGCATTACATGACGTATTCAATGGTTTCCCACACGGCTTTGCAAAGCATTATAGGGCAGTTTTGTGTACCTCAGTTGAGGAGAAACTTTGTTGACGTTTTTTTGGCCCATATTTCTCTTATGAAGCAAAACAAGACCACGAAGTTAATATGTTTTATAAACTTTAATCTAATTGTGTGTGACTTTTTATGGCAAAGTTAGAAACTGAAAACGTCAGGTAAGATGTCAGAATTCTAGTCCGTCGTAGGTCGCCAATTTGGCGACTAATTTTCAGGATTTGGTCCAGGTCAGCCGCAACTGTGGTGGAAAACTTAGTAGGCGCGATTGGCGACTGTATCAGGCGCATTTCGTGCCCTGCTTAGTGTTTTACTTGCCCGCCGACGCAGCACCACAGTTTCATTAGAAACTAACCACTTTGTCCTTGTTACCATTGTCCAGCGGTGGAACGGGCAAGGACTTGGGAACAAGATTGCTTTTATACTAGAGATGCACAATCCATTCAGATGAATAATGCATCTGCTGTTGTATGCATCTAGTATAAAGACGGATAAACCATCAGATGAACTACAGTGTAAGCCCTTAGTTCTTCTCTTAGTGTGCCGTTCAAGATGCCACTAAAGCAGATACATGTAGCTCGCCTTGATGCATGACCAGTATCATACCCGTCTCTATACTGAGATGCATAAATAACCAGACACTAGAAAAATATATTGCCCAAATTCACTTGTAAAATTATCAATGATACAGTCCGGTTTCATTATTATGGTCGTAGATGATCCTAACGAATCACAGGTGATCTCAGCAAAAATTACATGTATGCTTATGCAGTCGTATGAAATAAAACACACATCTGAGATCAATTGCTTTGATCCATTGCAACTGCAAAGAACACAGGGGCACCCAATGGATCGTTTCGGTGGAATATCTGTTCGGAAGGCCTATAATCACATCAGATATTTGGTTAGAAAATGTAGGGAAATGTCATCTCGAACTTTCATAACATGGGAAATTTATGCCTTTTGTTTTCGGAGAGATTAAAAAGTTGTTTGGTCAGCTAGGTAAAAGCAGCTCATAAATAATTCGGGTAATAAGATTTCAATCCCTAAAATTGTCTAAAGTTTGAAAGTTCAACTAACATATCCGAACAGATATATTTTTCTTAGCTTTTAAAAATAAGCCAATAAACTGCACAAAAAGCACAATTATATACGTAAAACGACACATGCAGGAAAATGTGTCGTTGGGTGCCCCTGAGAACAGAACCATGTTCTACATTTTTGTATTCTTCTGATGATTAACTGCTAGATTGTCTGTATGATAATTGCGATCAACTGCTGATCTGCGATCATATGGAAACTAAGCTTATTTTAGCAATGAGTAGAAAAGCAAGCTTTTGCTCATAAATATTCTTTAGACTGAAGAAGAAACAAGGACATAGCATTAAATGATACAAGTGACTTTCCAACCTGACTTTTGTTTATTTTTATTGTTATCTAGCCTGGTCAATCAGACTCAAGAAATGGAGAAAAGCCACCATCAGGGGAAACAACTCCACCGAAGCAGCACAAGCACCCCTAGCAAATCCTCATCACAAGACAGCGTCGCAAGCGACACTGAAACTCCCAAGAGAGCTGTGGAACGCCAGGGATCCATCCCAGCCATCCAGTCCTGGAGGAAAGTCTGATGCTGATCAGACGCAGAGCAAGGTGGTCCTGTACTCCTATGACACCAACACGGCCTTGAAGGAGCTTCGAAGGAAGAGATGGTGGCCATGTTTAGGAAACATGAGCGAGTCTTAACCCGTTACAAGACCAGATTTTCAGAGGTACATTGTAACTGTTAACTGTTGAGAAAGATGTTAATGAGTCAGTAAAACATACATAGACACACATAGTGGACACAAGCTTTAACTCAGAAAAAAAAATCCAAGCTCTCCCAACAGGAGTCGAAACCTAATGGACCCTTGCGCAGTCCGATCTGGTTGGATGCTCTACCCACTGAGCTACGGGAGACGTGTGTGTACGACATAGTAGGCAATACAGCTTGTTCTCTCGCGACAGCTTGGGTTTGCCTACTCTTTTTTTCCGAGACCCTGTGGCAGTGATTCAGTTTTAGTTTGTTTTCAAAACACAGCAATAATGACCAACAATTTTTCACCAAGCAGTTCAATCTGTATATTTTTGTGAATATTGTGATATATTGTTGTATTTTCTCTTCCAGTTTCATGCTTCAATTTGTTTGGTTTTCAAGAAGTACACTGTACACAGTGTAATACATGTAATTGTTTTACAATATATGTAATTTGTGGACAGTCACCAAATAGATACTGTATGTGTACATGTACAGTCAGGTCGATTCCCAATCTTGAAAATTTAAATGTCCTTGTACTTTTTTTTTTATGCAAGAAAGGGTTCAAATTTTGTACTTTACTCTCATGCTATATTTAATGCCCCATTTCGGAGACCAGAAGGTACAGGCCTATACAGTACTGGCATGGTATACTGTGTATATTAATATATTGGTTTCTGTGAGTCGGAGTGGAATATTGTCAGTAATTATCTACATGTACATGTGTCATTTTTAAAGACAAATCAAAACCGTCCTGAAAAGCTTATGTTGTTTGTTATTTTACTGTATTTATTTTAATACTGCCATTTTTCCATACAAAGATTTTCTGCAAAACCAAAGGTTAAATTGTGATGTTTCATTGACTATTCTTCTTGCGGTTTGATCGTGTCAAATGTTTAAATCAAAGAGGTTCACACTTCTTAGTATGGCGGGGTCATCAGTAAACATTATATAAATTATTTCTGAAAAGAGAACAAGTGTTTATTTACATGTTTTGGAAGTAGGTGGTACAGTGTAGAAACTTAAATACAAAAGAAAAAACAATAATGACAAACCTAGCGTAAAGAGCTGTTCATAGATTAAATTGCTTTTTTAAATTTTCCTGTCTACAATTTGGACATGTGCATCAAATATTTTTAATCACAATTTGGTTAATGGTTACGCTAGACATTCAATTCAGGGCACGACATAATGTTGGGCACAGTAACAATGAAGTGCATAGTCAGTTGATGTGGTCATTTCACAATGACACTTGGGGAACAATTCAATAATTTTTGCATATTTTTTATATTGTATATTCAAATAATGGCTACAGCACACACCAATGGGCTGCCGTGAAATTACAGGTTTTGTAGTCTGTGAAATCAGCATTTGCTTTATATAATGTCCATTTGAACAAGTAACGAATGGCTTTAGGAAATGTGCAGTAACTGTGTATTCCTGTCTCGTTTGTAGTGTATTTTTTTGGAAGATTTTTTCTGGATCTACAGAAGGGACAAAAAATGAACATAATTTTACATTCCTGAAAACAAAGCCTCTTGCATGGCTTCATGATTTGTATATAAATTCTCTGACCCTTGAATAATGCTGCATGTCCTTTTCTGACCTTGTAGGCGAAAAATGTTTAGCAGGAAAGGGTATCTGATGTTCACCTTCTGAACTTCAAGAATTATTTTCCATGTTGTGAAGACATTCTACATGTACAACTTGGGGCTTCATTCAATGATTCAAATTTTGATATAAATTGAGAATATTTTAATTATCGGTGACAATGGTCTTGACAGTGTTTTCCTGTATGGGAAGCCATCTTGATACAGAGGATAGAGAGGAAAGAGAAAGAATGGCTTTTAAAGATAAGGTACTTGTATACTGTACATGTACATATCCATCATGTTTGACAATGATTGCCTCAGTAATACTCAACAGTAGCAATAGTAAAATCTGTATATACGAGTATCAAAATGACAATAGAAAATAAGGATGTTAGTATTGAATAAATATTGTTCAGGAATAAAATTCATTCAAAAGTAAATTATGTACACATATGGTTTAATTTGAATGTGTGAAGAAAGAAGGTAAGATTATTGATCAATTTTTGTATTTTCAGGTTGTTGAGGCATACAAGAATCTGCAGAAGGACAATGAAAAGTTGCAGGTACATAAATTGAAAAAACTATTCTGTCACTTATAATTTGAGCTACAGTGTAAAAGTCTGTATGATGTACATGTACAGTGGAATCCCGATTTCTCGAACCTCCAAGGGAAACAGAAATTGGTTCGAGAAATCAGGAAGTTTCGAAAATATCGGAGGTAAAATTACAGTGAAACAAATCCAAGGGAAACAACTTTTCGTTTGAGTTCTCAGGGTTTATGAGAAAATCGAGGGTTCAAAAAAAATTGGGGGTTCCACTGTAAAATGTTTTATGTATGTGAAATGTACATATATTCAGTGTGATATACAGGTACATGATGGCAAAGGGGTGACAAAGTGTGATCAAGTATACATACAATATATTATTAATTTTAATAAACTTGTGGTTTGAATTTGCTTTTGGGTTGAATTTTTTATAAACCAATGTTGATTTTTATTTTCCTTTATTTCAGGATCATGATAATGAATGTTTAGACAAAGGGAAATGAAAATCAGTCTGGTTTGAAAAAATTTTAAACCCCAAAACAAATTTAAAAACCACAACACACATATTAGAAGAAAAGTAATTAAATAACAATCAATGAAACTGTTTCGAAGAAACCACCACAAAATCAAACCCAAAAATCAGATGTAAACCGCCAACAATATAGCATACAGCTGTACCTGTACACGTGATAATTTCTTACACTATCAAATGAATACAGTGAGGGTAGGAGGGGATGACATGGGGATCAGAACTTCCTACATGTACCGTAAAAACACCGGCGTTTTTAGCCGCACTCCGGCAGATAAGCCGTTAACCACCGAGTTTAGAAGCTCAAATTTTGGAAAAAAACTTAAAACTAAAAATGTTCAGGAGCATCGAGTCTTAAACAAAGCTAACTTTTCTTCAATGAACATAATAAAGCGTAAATCGAGTGTTCAAAGTTTGTATCAATCGTTCGTTGTCCGATCGTGGTGTTTTAATAGTTTTTTTACATGTAATTTCATCTCTGTTGATTATGTAAACGGTGTGACTACCTACAGTACTTAGGTACATGATTGTTCTCTTCCATGCAATATATATGGTTTACAGTGTCTGTTCGCATTCTCATTCGTTTCTGTTCGTTCACTTCCCAAATGGAGAAGTTGGAGTTCTCTTCAGCTGTTTGTGGGTCATCATGTCTTCGAGGATGTCTGGAAGCCATTCAAAAGGAGGTACAATTACTCAAAGGAGTTTGAGAACAAGTTCAACAATTTTTCCATTCTCGCTCTCTTAATTTGTTTTTTTTGTAGTATAAAGCTTATCGTTTTAGTGTAAAAAGTGTTAATTGGGGAAAATTTACAGAACCTTTGATAGATGTTCTTTTGCAGATTAGCCCACCTACACTCGATTTGGAATTAAATTTTCTGGGGGAAAAAAAGGTGCGGCGTATATGCCAGTGTTCCCGCCCCCTTCCATTGTGGTTTCTGCCTCTGTGCTTTTCCTATTGCAAAATATTGGTGCATTGTTGCAAAAAAAAAAAAAAAAAAAAAAACCTATTTCACACCCGGTTTTTCCGGCCACCTTGGGAATCCTGCATTCCCACCCTCTCTTCCCCCCGCCTCCTGTAGACTTCCTGCCCCCCCCTCCCCCCCCTCCTCACAATACATTGTCAATTTGTTCAATCAGACATGTGGATGACCACAGTTGCAACAAAACAAATCAGTGGCGGGAATTGTCTTGATGTGGCCAAACAAAATTTCTCCAAACTATCCAGTGAGGAGAATGAACGTTTTCAAGCTTTAGACAATTATGTACACGTTATCATTTTATAATGCGCTGCACTTATTTGCAGAACAATCTCACTCAAAGTCAAGACAAGGCTCTAAGAAGAATATCAGAAATGAAAGAGGTAAATACCTTCTTTGCATGCGGTACATTTGTACAAGATTGTATAATGACTGTTACAGCGAAAGAGTGCCCTACCGTTCCCACTCAACAAAGTTTTTTTGGATTAATTTGTTGACATAGTTTTGGAAAACTTTTCTGATGGCTTCCATTTAAACTAGCAAAATCAAATATTGCAAGGACTGTGGAAGGAGGAGATGTGAATTGGCAGAACGCGAATGTGGAGCTTGACATCTCCGCCTCTCATAGTTCTTGCATTTTGTTTGATTGTGTGGTTCCAGAATATATGCATACCTCCCTCACGGAAGGTTTTTTTTTGGTTTGAACCCCTCCTCCCCCCAGGAATTTCCAGTTTAGCTTCATACTTACCTTTAAAAGTGTTGGCTGTTGAGACGCCCCCCCGCCCCCCCCCCCCCCCTCGGAATTCCCAATGACCTTCCTTGGGGGTGGGTAGGGATATTTTCTGGAACCACACATTGGCCAGTTGAAACAAAAGCCATTAGAAAGTTTGTCAAAAATTAATCAAAAACTTTGTTGTGAGTGGCAATGGCAGGGTACTTTGTCACTTGTAATATACGTCAGTAACATGTATATAATACACAGGGTTCGTACGGGTCGTTTGAAAACCTGAAAAGTCCTGCAATTTTGTTCTGGCATTAGGAAATCTGTAGATTTGAGGGAAAAATTCAGTGACACGAGAGAAAGAACAGTCACAAAATTAATAACCACTAAATGGGGGCATGGAATGAAAATTCTCGGATTGTGAGATTAGCTTTGTGGCAAAATGTTGTAGTCTGGAAAATCTACTGGAAGTCCTGATTTTTGGAAGATCTTGATAATTACTGTTATTGTATTGTGCATAAAAAAATGATCTACATGTACCATTTACATGTACTGTGTAGGGAGACCTGTGAGAATATTTTTAATGTAGCATGTACATATGACTTTGATACATACATACATTATGTTTTTTTTTTTTTTTGTGTGTGTGTGTGTAGACAATAGAGCTGGAGAAAACAAGCCAAGATGCATTTTGGAAGAAAACTCTTCAGTTGTCACTGGAAGAAAAGCAAGACAATCATCAAAGCACTTCAGACTCAGGTAATTCATTGAATTTTTAATATAATTATTTTTTCTAGATT